TATATATATGGTTTTTGTTTGTATTGAAATTGATAATGGTGGGGTTGAAAGATTTTGATGGCAGGCAGGGGATCCAGCATGCAATGGGTATTGAGTTAAGTGTTTGATGGTGGGGTTATTATGAGTGCGCCTGCATTGTTTCCTCATCTTTTCAAGCAAACAGGGAATATATGATGATGGCTTCACTGCACGCTATACCAACTCTAACTTAAACTATTACCTCATTTCTGGGTAACTGTCTCTCCCCACAAATATCCAATCTCAATTCAACCCCTTTTTTTCTCTCTTACTCACTTATATATATATATATATATATATGCATATGCATATATCATCATCATCATCATCACCCGCATGCATGTCATTCCCAAAACTTATCTTCACCAACTATATATGCATGTACATATCTACGCCATCCACACACTGCCAAAATGCCTTTTAGGCAATAACCCGCACTACAAAATGCCTTTTAGGCAATAACCCACGAAAGTAAAAAGTAGGCATGCATATATATATACATATATATATATGTACATATATCATACATTATCAGCTTGCAATATTGAACAGCGAATTCTTTATCATTATTATATTTAATAATCACACTCTTCTGCAAAAATATTTTTAACAAATTCAAAGCTAAAGAAAATTTGAAAATAAGTATATATCTTAAATTACAAAAAAAAACTAAATCATTATATATGACGGTCTTTATTATCATAAATACATATATATCAACATAAGTTGATAAGATATCTTGATATATACATACACTAGTCTAATCAATTAATTATAGTAAAAGATGGAACACCCAGGCATAAATATACATAGATAACATGCGTGCACATGAACGTGGTGTAGCTTATGTGTATACATATGTGTGTGTATATATATATATATATATGCATGCGCAAGAATTATGAAATGTAGTTGTCGTGTAGCCAGTATGGTACGATGTACGTAGCTTGTGAGAAGAGATAACATATAGCTAGCAAAGACCAAGAAGATGACAACATGAATTTATTTAGATGGTGCTTGAAGTTTTACATTTTTGGAAATATATATATATATATATATATATATATATATATATATAAGGGTGTGTATCCAGTTACGCAAATCCAAGAGGATTTTTGGGTGCCTTTTTAAAGGTCCTATAACCACACCCACTTCGATAGGATTTTTCGCACCCAAATCAAATCATTGCCTTTCTTCTATTTCTCTCCCACTCTCTCTATTTATACTCTGCACCATCTGCCCACTTCTCCTCACAAATTAATTAACCTATCTTTCTCTCTCCCTCTCTGAAATTATCCTCTCTTTTTTGCCTACTTGGTGTAAAATCAGAAATGGGAGAAATTTCTTGCTCTAATGGCAATGGAATTAATGGGAAGAACCATACACTGGCAGGTTACAGAAAGAGCTGCTGGTATGAAGAAGAAATAGAGGAGAATCTCAGATGGTGTTTTGCTCTAAATAGGTACCTCTACAAACATTTACTTCTTTTATATTTTTAGATATACGAGTCCACAACCCAAAATTTTTTGATATTTTTTAATCATTTTAAATAGGTTTCATGTTTTTTTTTTTTGTTCGCAAAATTTTCTTCTCGTCTCTAGTTTCTTATTTTACCTTCCTTTATTCTCTTGCCTCATACTAAGATATTAAAGCTTATGACAAGTTCCCAAAATCAAGGGCAAGCTACAATAGAAGTGAAAAGAAAAAAACATTTCCAATGGATGGTATTATAAAAAAAGGACAAAGTTTCTTGATAATTAAAAAGTAAAAAGATAATGTTTTTCTACAAGCAAAAAAAGTTTGTTGTTGTCTTGGTCATGAAAAGTGCAGACAAGATATAAATATTGAACTTTTTGAATTTTTTAAACCCATAATATCAGGATCCTCAACATTCTTTCCTCACTCATATACATATATATATATATATATATATTACTGGAAAATATATAATTAAGATTCATCATTTTGTTTCCTTGTGTCACAGTATATTGCAAATATCAGGATCCTCAACATTCTTTCCTCACTCATATATGTATATATATAAATATATATATATGTTACTGGGAAATATATAATTAAGATTCATTATTTTGTTTCCTTGTGTCACAGTATATTGCACACAGGAGCCACACAGTTCCAGGACATTGCATTACTAGATACAAAGCCCTTTGGCAAGGTTCATCATCACCAAACAAATTGACTTTATAATTAATAATATGTTATATACAAATGAACTTATATATGTGCATGTTGGATTATTTTATATTTTGTAATTCACAGAGCTCAAAAAGAAAATACATCTATTTTTTGGTGTAATATTTACAGGCATTGGTGATTGATGGGAAGCTCCAAAGTGCAGAAGTAGATGAATTTATCTACCATGAATGTCTTGTTCATCCAGCACTTATTCATCATCCAAAGTAGTTTCTTTTCTTTTTCCAGTTTTCTTGTTAATTCAAATATAATCTTCCCTTTTTTTTTTTGGAAACCTTAATTATCAATTTGGTAATTAAATGTATTTTTTTACAGTCCGAAAAAGGTATTTGTCATGGGAGGTGGTGAAGGTTCGACAGCAAGAGAAATTCTTCGACACAAGACAGTGGAAAAAGTTGTCATGTGTGACATCGACGAGGTGATCAAAATATTTACTCTTAATTAAGTTTGGTTTGTTATCATCTACGTATATGTATGTATTCCTTCTGATTTTTTTCTAAAAAAAAAATTCAATAAATTTAATAAAATTTACAGGAGGTGGTGGAATTTTGCAAGTCATATTTAATTGTGAACAGAGAAGCCTTCTGCGATTCGAGACTGGAGCTTGTCATCAATGATGCCAGGTTTAGTCCTTAAATTAATTAAATAATTTTAATTAATTACATCATAATTAATCATTAATCTGATTTGTGAATTAATTTAATTGTAATCTGGTACAGGGTGGAGCTAGAAAGTAGAACAGATGGACATGATGTGATCATAGGAGATCTGGCAGATCCAATTGAAGGAGGCCCTTGTTACAAGCTCTACACCAAATCCTTCTATGAGTTCACTGTTAAACCTAGACTCAATCATGGTGGCATATTTGTCACCCAGGTATACTTACATATATACATATATATATATATCTATATATATATAGGAGACCCACAAAAATACGAGGGAAAAACTCCTCAAATTTTAGAATAGAAGTATTATCTCATCTAAATTATATATTCTTGGCATGTGTTTAATATACATAAATTTACAAAATGGTTGGGTGTTTTGTAGGCTGGACCCGCTGGAATATTTAGCCACACGGAAGTATTCACATGCATCTACCATACTTTAAAGCAGGTGTTCAAATGTAAGCCGAATTTGATGCCTAATCTTAATTATTTGTTGCTAATTAACACAAAAATAATTATAAATTTAGTGAATTTTAATGTTTTGACCGTGCAGATGTTGTGCCCTATTCTGCTCATATTCCTTCTTATGCCGATACTTGGGGATGGATCATGGTAATTCATACACACATACACACCAGCTAATATTAAATTCTGTAATACAAAGAAAAAAATAATAATTGTTGAAAATTAAACGGTAGGCATCAGATTCGCCATTAACGGCAAGTTCAGAAGAGGTAGATTTGAGAATGAAACAGAGAATCAAAGGGGAGAACAGATTTCTTGATGGGAAAACTTTTACATCGGCGGCTACGCTCAGCAAAGCTGTGAGAAAATCGTGAGTTCTTAAATAATTAAGTTTGAATTAATTGAATTTTTAATTTTGATATTGTTTAAAATTTTTAATATAATTTAATAAAAAATAACTCAATCAATCTATGTGAATGTTTGACAGGCTTGACAATGAGACGCATGTTTACACTGAGGGAACGGCAAGATTTATATACGGCTATGGCAAGAACAATCAAGGTTGAAGTTCAAAAATTGGCAGATCACAAGAACAAAAAGAAGACTGAAATTAAAAACTTTATTATTTTTTTTTTCTGGTTCCTGTTCCGTAATCACTTTTTTTTTTTTTACTTAATTTGATTTTGTGTAGTTACTTGAACTGTTTGGTATAATGATATAATGTTTGGTATAATGATATAATGGTAATGGAATTTGCAATGTCCTTCTTTGAGTTTTCTGAAAGAGTAACTCTTCCTAACAAAACTTTCGATGGTCAAATGACCTAGTCACTACCATATATATATACATATACCATACAAATATATGGATATCCTTATTTTGGTAGAATTTGATACTTGAATTCGAAGTCATCAAAAAATATCCACAAAGAAAAAAATTATAAATTAATAGTAACTTTCTTTTCAATAAAAGTTCCCTTCACCGGTGCCATCTCTCCAGTAAATTTTTGGGTAATTCTTACAGTATATCCTTTGTGTTTTTGTATTCATACCAAATTAATGTTATTTTAAAAAAATTAATTAACTCTTCCTTCTCATAATCAACTTCTTCCTTTCTTACTGTAAATTTTAAATTTTAAAAATAATCATTAAAATAAAACCAAAATTTAACGTAACATATAAATATATTTAAAAGTTCAAATATCTTTTTTGATCCTCAAATTTTTATAAGTATTCAAATTGTACTCTTGAGAACTATATATCTAACTTTCTAAAATATTCAAATCATCTTTTTGCGTTTATCAATTGTAAATGCCATTAGAAATTTGAATACATCATCGATGGTGTGTGTAATTTAATCCACATGGACCCACTCGTAAAGGTTGTCCCCTTCTCCATATATACCAGAGAGGTACACTTGAGAAACCATCATTGTTTATCAAACAATGTCCGATCATCCTTCACCATCACTTTTATTTGTATTATTATATTAAATAAAACATTTCAGCGCCGCAACTCATGCCGGTGAATGAACTGGTAGAAAGTGGAACCGGTCCCGCGTAACATTTAATGTATTACCCGTAAAAAGAGGGGTACAACACGAGAACTTTTTAGTAGCTAATCATTGCGATTAAGCATACAAAGGGTAATCATTGCGATCCTGCATGCATTTTTTTTTTTATCCAACGATTAAAAAAAACAAACGAACCAAATCAACAGAAGAGAAAAATGAAAGGTCTAGATCAAAAGTCAAGAGATTCGACGACTAAGACATGGGTGAGAAAAATTACAAGAATGCTACTAATGAGCCCTGATCGCACGGACCGCATACAGCTATGTACTACAATCAGGTGGCTGAGAGGGTATTTAAGCCACCCTTCCCTGTCCTTGATCAGCCAAACATGCCGTAGAAAAAAAGAAAAGAAAAACAAAAGAAGCAAGAAAAGAAAGAAAAGAAGAGGGAGGCCGAAGACTGCCACCTACATTGGAGAGAAGAGAAAAGAATAGCGGATTCACATCGAGAAGGGAAGAACCATGAGGGCGAGGTGATTTATAGCCAACTAGAGCTAGAAATTACAAAATCCGACTAGGTTTTCCAGTGACCCAATCCCCTTTCAGTGTGATCAAACATGGACATTCGTGAGTGATTTTCTAAGTCTTTTCTTTCTATTTTAATTAAGTAAAATACTTTAGAGATAGTCCACATGTATTAGAACATATTTGAAGTTCAAATTAAATCAAAATCAAGCTTTGCATGCAAGTCATTGGTTTATCAATGACTTTAGAAAGATTTTTTTTCCTATAGATTTTTGCTCAACTTTATAGACTTTTTAAAACTTGATTCCCTTATTAGAGACTTCAAAATAGCAGGTATAAGCAGTAGGTAACCCGAAGCTTCCATAGCATAGAGTTTTAATGAATTTTATGAATTAGATTGAAAGATATTTGCTTTCAAAGGTGGGTTGGTGAACTAGTTGAAGAACCAATTTTTTAAATAGAATTGTTTTTAAATAATTAGATAATTTAAAATTCATTTTCTTGAACTAAAGTGTGTGAATGTATGGTATGATGTTTAAATAAAAATTAGTATGAACTACAAGTTAGAAGGAAGGAAAATTGAAATAGAATGATGAATTTATAAATAATTAGAGAGTGAAATTTATAAATAATTAGCGATTTAAATTAGGAAAAATTTGGAAAATTGGAAAAATTAGAAGTTAAGTAGGAAAAAATAATAAATTAAAAAATAAAAATAAAATAAAATTTAAAAATATATATATAACAAATTACCAAGAACAAAATAAAAGAAAACTAACATTAACAAATAAATCTGTTTATAACCTAACTAAAATAAGAAGACTATATTAGAAAGAGAAAAAGGGTAGCGATGGATAGAAATTTGAATATGTTTAATAAAATAAAATAAAATAAAATATCAATCTTAACTAAAATAAGAAGAAAGAAAATAATACAAAGATTGAAAGAAGTGAAAATTTAGAGATAATTCATTTAAAATTAGTATGATTGAAATTCAACAGTGTGATGAACCATATCCTTGAGTGGATAAAAGCCCTTCCAGACGTGGTTGAGATGTGTATTTTGTTCTAAATCACCTGGAGACATATTGCTATGACCAATTTGCGTGGTTTATCTGTATGTGTCTCCCCTTGTGATAGTGAAAATCTTGATCCCACAATGGTACTAATTGGATAACTGATATATCCTTTCAATCTCAAATAAAACTCTAAAATTTTAATTATTTTAACGAGATAATCGGATTGAGGCAAACCGAGAATTGGGGACACCTGTGAGGGGTTACAAATATCTCAATTTAGTTGTGAACTGCGAAAAATCTGATTGTGAATATGAATGATAAAATATGGCTTAGGGGGAAACTGAGGGATAAAATGAATTTAAGGGGATTTTTTAGGGATAAAGGAAATTAGGGAGATTTCAAAGGATAAAATGTACTTAAGGGGGAAATCCATAGGGATGAAAGTGACCTATGGGGATTTTAAGGGATAAACGTGACCTAGGGAGATTTTGAAGGATAGATTGAACATTAGGGGGATGTTGAGGGATAGATGGAAGTTAGGGGGATGATAAGAGATAAATTTGAAAAACTAAATTTCTCTACATTCATAGTTTTCAACTAAAAAAAGAAAGAAAACTTTTACATATCTAATTGACTGTTTGCCTATATGTTGCATGCCTATGGTGTACACTATTTCTTATACTTACTGAGAACGTTCAAATTGCTCACACAATTAAATTATCATCTTTTCCAGATCAAGAGGATCTAATTTTAGATAAGGAGGATCCCACCTCTGAACCGAATCAAGAAGTGTAATATCTACATAAGAAAAAATAAATTTTGGAGTTTGGATGTAAGTGAAAGAAATTTTCAAAATTTAGGGGTTTTAGTTAATTTCAGGGACCCAAATAAAAGTAGGTAAGAAAAAAGATGTAAAAATATAAATAAGGATAAGTAGAAGGGGGCAAAAAGAAATAGGGAACGGATGGTCCTGATCGAACCGTCTGAAAAGATCAAATAGCTAAGATTTAATAGAGAACGACCCAGATCGAGCTAGTGAGATCTAACAATCGAGGCGAATCGATATAAAAAGGAAAAATTTTAGGTTTCTCTTCATTTTGAAGAGTAGCTGAAAAAGAGAAAGGGAGAAGAGAGAGGAGCGATCGAAGAGAACAGGAAGAAGATGGGGTCATGCGGGGAAGCTGAAAGAGAAGAAAGAATGAAAAGAAAGGAAGAGGAAGGCCGGAGAAGGAGAAAAAAAGAGAGAAAAGAAAGAAGGAGGCCGAAAAAGAAGATAAGAAATGAGGAAAAAAAGGAAGAGAAGAGAATAGAGGAGTGATCGAGCGGGAAAGAGAAGGAGGAGCCGAGAACGGCCGCTGCAAGGGAAGAAAAGAGAAGAAGAGTAAGGTGAAGGCAGGAGAACAGTGTAAACCAAGTTAAAAGGAAGAAGGAGGAAGAGGAAACAACTCGAGACGCTGTGTGACGATAGAGGCCAAGGTTGTTTGAGTTTTTTAAGCACCGCACCTGAGCTAGGTGCATTCCTTTTCTTCTTTCGATTTGTGTTTTTGACCAAACGAATGTTCATATATGTGTGTGCAATTTGGGAGCTAAAGAGCCGCGAGGTGACCGAGGAAAGACGATCGGGAGCCAACCGAGGCTGAATCACCCACGTCAAAAGGTTAAACGATTTTTTTTTCATGTTTTAGTGGTGGTTAAGCGGCAGAGGGCTGAGGAAGGTGTCGGGCTGGCCGTGCAAACTCAGCCGGACAACCCACCTGTGCAAGAATCGAGGAGGTTTCCTTGAGAACGGGGAAAACACACCCACCGTGGAAGCCGAAGAATCTTCTGCCAAAATGGAGGCCGGAATCTCCTTTTGGGGTTTCGATTCGCCATTCAAACTGCTAAAAATTCTTCCTTAAAAAACAGGAATC